GCACTGCACAAATATTTGTTTTTGTTGTTGATGATGATGATGATGATGATGATGATGATGACATGACAATTTTTGTAACTGTTGATTGAAAGAACTCTTGGCATCATTTTGCATTTTTCACTGCCCTCACTGGCCCAAATCTGGGCAACTTGTTGTCAGTCTCCAGATGCCTGATGCCTGCGGGGCTCAAAGTCTAGTCTTTCAAAAGCAGAAGTGACCACCAAAGCCCTGTAGGCTCTTGGCACTCAAAGTTGGTCCAAAGACTGGCAGGAGCACTGGCATCACCTGGGAATTTGTTAGAAAAGCCCGCCCAAGATTGCTTTGAACAGCATCAGACTGGGTTTTAACAGCAACCTCAGATGATGTGCCTGAGCACCACTTCTCTGCTCCAGACTGCTGGTTTATTGCCAAGGAAACAAAGGCACAGAGAGGATGAGGGATTGCCCCAAATCCCACCATGTTTGCACCAGAGTCAGAGTCAGCACTGGAACCCAGGTTCAAGGGCTCCCGGACAACTACCTTTAGCTAGAAGCCTCTGGTTAAGATGGATGGAAGTGGGATAGGGCTGAGCCTCCCAAGTAAAGAGAAAGTTCTCTGTCTTCTCTCCTGAAAGCTGTCCTGGTAGGAAAACAAGGTCCCTCAGTGACCTCACTCAGCTTGGGCCTTGGGTACAGATAGCAAAGTCTACCCAGCTTGCAGACATAAAAAAATCTGAATGAATGAGAACACTGAGCACCCTGACCAAAGTAGCTCCTGCTTGCCACAGTTAGAGAAAAACCTGCACAGCAATCATGAGCCAACACAGGTAAAATAAAATAAATAAATAAATAAAAATTTTTTTTAAGTCACAACAGTGGAAGGATGGGAGGTGGTTCCCCCCACCCTCACCCCTGTGATGTGTGGGGTGGGACTGGAGTGGGTGGAGTATCAAGGGGGTGGGACCATTCTAGGGGTTGGGTACCCTAGGGAAAAGCAGTCAGCTCTTGGGGTTGAAGGACAGCTTTCCAACAAAAACGTTGGAGGATTTAGCAAAGTTGCAGGATACAAAATCAATACACAGAAATCACTTGCATTTCTATATACTAACAATGAAAAATCAGAAAGAGAAATTAATCCCATTCACCATTGCAACAAAAAGAATTAAATATCTAGGAATAAACTTACCTAAGGAGACAAAAGAACTGTATACAGAAAATTATAAGAAACTAATGAAAGAAATCAAAGATGACATAAACATATGGAGAGATATTCCATGTTCCTGAGTAGGAAGAATCAATATTGTGGAAATGACTACACTACCAAATTCAATCTACAGATTCAATGTGATCTCCAGCAAATTACCAATGGCATTTTTCACAGAACTAGGACAAAAAATTTCACAGTTCATATGGAAACACAAACAACCCTGAATAGCCAAAGCAGTCTTGAGAAAGAAGGACCGAGCTGGAGGAATCAACCTTCCTGGCTTCAGATTATACTACAAAACCACAGTCATCAATACAGTATGGCACTGGCACAAAAACAGAAATACAGACCAATGGAACAAGATAGAAAACCCAGAAATAAACCCATGCACCTATGGGTACCTTATTTTTGACAAAAGAGGGAAGAATATACAATGAGGCAAAGACAGCCTCTTCAATAAATGGTGCTGGGAAAACTGGCCAGTTACATGTAAAAGAATGAAATTAGAACACTTCCTAACACCATGCACAAAGATAAAATTGGTTAAAGACCTAAATGTAAGACCAGAAACTATAAAAGTCTTAGAGGAAAATATAGGCAGAACACTCGATGACACAAATCAAAGCAAAATCCTCTATGACCCACCTCCTAGACTAACAGAAATAAAAACAAAAGTAAACAAGTGGGACCTGATTAAACTTAAAAGCTTTTGCACAGCAAAGGAAACTATAAGCAAGGACAACCCTCAGAAAGGGAGAAAATAATGGCAAATGAAACAACTGACAAAGGATTAATTTCCAAAATATACAAGCAGCACATATAACTCAATGCCAAAAAAACAAACAACCCAATTAAAAAGTGGGAAAAAGACCTAAACAGACATTTCTTCAAAGAAGACATACAGATGGCTAACAAACACATGAAAAGATGCTCATTATTAGAGAAATGCAAATCAAAACTACAATATCGCCTCACACCAGTCAGAATGGCCATCATCAAAAAGTCTACAAACAATAAATGCTGGAGAAGGTATGGAGAAAAGGGAACGCTCTTGCACTGTTGGTGGGAATGCAAATTGATACAGCCACTATGGCAGACAGTATGGAGATTCCTTAAAAAAACTAGGAATAAAACCACCATATGAACCAGCAATCCCACTCTTAGGCATATGCCCTGAGGAAACCAAAGTTGAAAAACACACATGTATCCCATTGTTCATTGGAGCACTATTTATAATAGCTAGAACATGGAAGCAACTTAGATGTCCACCAAGAGATGAATAGATAAAGAAGTTGTGGACATATACACAATGGAATATTACTCAGCCATAAAAAGGGAACACACTTGAGTCAGTTCTGATGAGGTGGATGAACTTATAGAACCTATTATACAGAGTGAAGTGAATCAGAAAGAGAAAGATAAATATCATATTCTAAAGCAAATATATGGAATCTAGAAAAATGGCACTGAAGAATTTATTTATAGGGCAGCAATGGAGAAACAGACATAGAGAACAGATTTATGGACATGGGGAGAGGGGAGGAGAGGGTGAGATGTATGCAAACAGTAACATGGAAACTTTTATTACCATATATAAAATAGATAGCCAATGGGAATTTGCTGTGAGGCTCAGAAAACTCAAACAGGGGCTCTGCATCAACCTAGGGATGGGGTGGGAGATGGGAGGGAATTTCAGGGGGGAGGGGATATATGTATACCTATGGCTGATTCATGTTGAGGTTTGGCAGAAAACAACAAAATTCTGTAAAGCATTTATCCTTCAATTAAAAAATAAATTAAAAAGAAAAAAAAAAAGTCGCAACAGAGGAAGGATGGGAGACGCTTCCCCCCATCACCACCCCTTGCAACGTGTGGGGTGAGACAGGAATGAGCAGGGAGTCCAGTGGGTGGGACCATTCTAGGGGTTGAGTACCCTAGGGAAGAGCAGTCAGCTCTCAAGGTTGGAGACAGCTTTCCAACAAAAATGTTGGAGACCTGGAAAAGTAATTTTTGGCTCCACCTTGAGAAAAGCAAGCAGCAAAGTCAAAACTAATAAATATTTAATTAAAGGTCTACAGAAGGTAGCACGGTGTCAACATCATTAAGTTGCTGAATTAATTATTCTTAAAAATTTCACTACATGTGAAAATGATTTTGATTTTCTCACTTTGCAAGAATGTCCCAGGTCACCCAATTAGTTCTAAGAAGTGGCAGCCATTATAAATTAGGGCCTTGTAACCAAGTAAAGCAAAATGAAAATTATTAAAAAATTCTTTCAAAGATTTTATCATAAAAAAGCTCTGCATAATGTGTGGGATGTTGTTTTTTTTAAGAGTTTGCTATGATGAGGGTTGAGACCTCCAAAATAGGGGTACTTAAGGGCCTGCATACTTTGGAATGTTAACCAGCTCAGGGCTGGTGGCAGACTAGCCTGCCACAAATCCTCGGGCAAGTCACTTAGCAACTCTGAGCTTCTGAAACATCCAGGGGAGTCAGAAACCCCAACTTTGGGAGACTGTTGTGAGAATTCATGTCAGGCAGTAGAGAGATATGGATACTAGCTGGGAAGCAAAATTTAAACGGGTGGCAAAAAAGCTCAGTATACAAGATAATATTTTAGTGCAATATACTTAACTGTGGTATTGGAGAAGACTCTTGAGAGTCCCTCGGACTGCAAGGAGATCCAACCAGTCCATCCTAAAGGAAATCACTCCTGAATATTCACTGGAAGGACTGATGCTGAAGCTGAAACTCTAATACTTTGGCCACCTGATGTGAAGAACTGAGTCATTGGAAAAGACCCTGATGCTGGGAAAGACTGAGGGCAGGAGGAGAAGGGGATGACAGAGGATGAAATGGTTGGATGGCATCACCGATTCAATGGACATGAATTTGAGTAAACTTTGGGAGTTGGTGATGGACAGGGAGGCCTGGCGTGCTGCAGTCCATGGGGTCGCAGAGTCCGACACGACTGAGCGACTGAACCGAACTGACTTTATAAAAGCAAAATTAATGCACACACCAAAGAAGGCAGATGAGCAAAATACTAAACATGAAAGTATGATCTTTCGGGGATACTAGAGCCGGCCATTCTTGAGGGACCATTCTAGTTTTGCTAACTGGTGGCACAGTTCCTTCGTGCCTCAGTTCCTTTATCTGAGGGACGAGGCTAATCATCTTCCCAACTGGAGGAGTTTGGGGGAGCAGAAATGGGTTAATAAACGGTGGCTCAGACGGTAAAGAATCTCCCCACAATGGGGTAGACCCCGGTTCCATCCCTGGGTTGGGAAGATCCCTGGAGGAGGGCATGGCAACCCGGTCCAGTTTTTCTTGCCTGGAGAATCCCATGGACAGGGGAGCCTGGCGAGCTACAGTCTATGAGGTTGCAAAGAGTCGGGCACGACCGAGCGACTAATATTCCTACTAAAGGACTTAGAACAGTGCGTGGCAAGTTGACGCTTTAAGTCTTTACTGTTACCATGCAAAGAAAGCGTTGCGTTCGATGGGAACTTCACACGTCGTAGGAGAAAGTCAAGGTCACAAAGTCTCCAAAATTTGGTTTGGGCCAGGGCTGGGCAGAGGCGCGACCTTGCTGCAGTTGGCAGCGGCCCGCGTCGCAGCTCCCGGCCCCAGGAGGCACTTCAGGGGCTCTGTGTTACCGGACGGGCGCCGGGGAGCCGGGGAGCCGGGCGGGGGCCCGCGGGGCCGGCGCGGCCCCCCGCTGGGCCTCAGCGCTCGCGTCTCCGCCTTTGTCCCGCTGCGCGAAGCCGGCCGCACGCTCCTCCCAGCGCCCCGAAGCGGCCGAGCGCCCTTTGTCAGCCGAGCGGCGTCTGGGGGCGGCCCTGACACTTGATCCAGCCGCCCAGAAAGCCCCTCATTAGGCCCGGCCGCACTTCAAAGTGTGCGCGACCGTGCAGCTCCGAAGGCGATCCCCGCGGTCCCAGAGGGCGCGGTGGCCGTTCCTGCCCCGCCGCGCCCGGGACACCGAGGGGCCGCGGGAGTCGGGTCTCGGGGGTGAACGTCAGCTCCTTTGGTGAGAGGTGGGGGGACGCCTTTCCCCCAAGCCGGCCAATAATGGAACGCTTCTTGTCCATCGCATACTCTAAAACAGAAATCTTCTCACGAATGTCTGAGAAAGCTTTTCCTTTGCCGAAAACAGAGATCAGATGTGGTTAATCCAGTCTTTCCTGTTTCTCCTGGCTTGAGCAAGGATGTGATTGCTGGAGTTACGGCAGCTCCCTTGCATTTATGAGGGAATGGCCCCAAATTCCAGAGACAGTGACCCCATCATCATGAGCTGCTGAACCAATGCCTGTTATGACCTGTCTCTAGACATCTCACTACGTGAGGAAAATAACCTACCTTTCCATTTAAGCTGCTATTAGGAGGGTTTTGTATTGGCCAAGCCTTATATAGCCATCATGCCATCTAATCTTTGTATTAATCCTATGAGAAAGTGGTTTTATTGCCATGTAAGAATTTTTTCACAAGCTCGATGTGCTAAGGCTCTGCTTTTGCAGTTCTACCCAGACTCTTGAAAAGCAGACCCCAGTCAATTTGCACTCTCCTCAACACAGTAACGGAGAAGGCAATGGCAACCCACTCCAGTATTCTTGCCTAGAAAATTCCATGGACGGAGGAGCCTGGTAGGCTGCAGTCCATGGGGTTGCTAAGAGTCCACACAACTGAGCGACTTCACTTTTCACTTTTCACTTTCATGCATTGGAGAAGGAAATGGCAACCCACTCCAGTGTTCTTGCTTGGAGAATCCCAGGGATGGGGGAGCCTGGTGGGCTGCTGTCTATGGGGTTACACAGAGTCGGACATGACTGAAGTGACTTAGCAGCAGCAGCAGCAGCAACACAGTAAGCTGGAGTTTTACCCTATCCAGATGTGGTCTAAGCAAGAAGTTGCTTTGAGAAACAGATGTGAGCCAGAATCTACCACCTCCATCCAATAACAAGGGAAGAACTGGTGAGTTGAGGCTGGAAAAAGATCTTGAAATCTTAGGGTTCTGGGGTTGCCACAGCCATTCTGGACTTGATGCAGTTTACTGGTGGATACTGGGGATGAGCAGAAGGCATGCTGAGGATTCTCTGAACATTTCTGGGACCCCGGGAGAGCCAGTCTCCTTCTCTAGAAGCTCCAACAGAGGACAGGGTAGGTGGTGCTTTCAAAGCTCCCCATTTGAGTCCATCAAATGATACAAACCTCCACTTGCTTCTGATATTACAGTTTGCTATTTCACCATTAAGGTAGTCATTTGGCTTAACAAGCAGACATCCTGGGAGGTGAAGAAAAAGGTGAATACTATCAACCCTTCATGCCTCAGTATGGATTATTTACTTCCATTTTCTTTGTAAGACGGAGGCAAAAAGTTCTCAAAGAAAATAAGTTTTATGAGGGGATGTTGAATAAATGTTGTAGCATGAATACACTTGTGTATGAATGAGCTGCATTCATAAAGGAGTGCTCAGAAACTTACTGGTGGGCTGAGGAGCTTAACCCAGGTGTGTACACACACACACACACACACACTCTCTCTCTCTCTCTCTCTCTCTCTCTCTTTCTCTCTCTCTCTCTCTAACAGGAGATGCAGAGCTTTTGAAGTCTTAGGTAGCAGAAACAAGCTTCAAAAGTTCGAGAGGTGGAAACAAGGGTGCTAAAGTAATAAGACTAAGTTTACCAAAGGCAGATGTCGGATGCTAAACATTTGTCCACAATTGCCTCACACAGAGGGAGATGGGAAAGGCAAGGCTTAATAGCAGCAAGGATGACAAAGATGGGGATGAGGGTGGCATTGGGGAAGGAGAGGGAGAGGGAAAGCTGGTGGCCTCCAGCTCCTGTGAATCCTGAGTAGGACCTGGCTGCCAAAATATTAATGAGTTTCTGAGCTGCTGTAACACAAGCACAGTTTTCAGAACGGGAGACCCCAGAGGCATGAGAGTCAGACCACACCTGAAGTCTAGGGCTCAGTTCTGGGAAGAAACACAGGCAAATGGTGACCAAAGGAAAAGCCACGTGACAGGAAAGGGAACCAGGGTGGCAAGCAGGGCAGAAGATGTGGCCTCAGAGAAGCCGGAAGGCTGCGGGGGCAGCTGGAGAGCAGGGACCATGTCTGATTCAGGTCGGTATTCCCAGTGCCTGATGCAGAGCCAGAGACATGTTCATGGCTCTGTTAATAGTTCCTGAATGAACTGGAGCATCCCAAAATGAAAGAGCTTTCCCGTGAAGGAGAGTTCCCCATCTGTGAGAGTGTATCTGTACAAAATAGATGGTCCCTTGCTGGAGTTTTCCTAGGAAAGATGCAAGCATCCAATAAGGGCTTGGAATAGATGCTAAAGATCTATGTCCTGAGCATCTTATTCCATAAGTCTAGATATTAAAGGGAATCCCAGGTGGCTCAATGATAAAGAACCCACCTGCCAATGCAGGAGACCTGGGTTCGATCCTTGGATTGGGAAGATCCCCTGGAGAAGGAAATGGCAACCCACTCCAGTATTCTTGCCTGGGAAATCCCACGGACAGAGGAGCCTGGAGGGCTATAGTTCATGGCATCACAAAGAGTTATGTGCAACTGAGCGACTAAACAACAACAAAGATATTAAAGTCCTCACCACATCTGCCTCTCAGACTGTATTTTTCTTTCATCAGTGACTCTCAAAGAGAAGGGACAGATGAAGAACAGAAGAGTGGCCAGTGTGAGGGCTGTCGGCTCCCTGAAACTGTACTCCCCTCTCTCCCCACTGTCAAGAGGAAGGCACCCCTCCCTGGCCCCACCCCCAGTGCACCCCTTCACTAACAGCATTCACTGTGCCGCATTTTTCCTGCCTCTGCCTGGTTCATGTGTAACAACCTCTCTTCCCGGAGATCTGGCTACATTTGCTTTGTTCTATTTTGCCATCAACACTCACACAGTACTGCTTGAACAGTACCTGTTAATAAACATTCACTGAATGAATGGACATATGAATCCTGCAATCTTTAGACTTTGTTCAGTTTAGTTCAGTCACTCAGTCATGTCCGACTCTTTGCGACCACATGGACTGCAGCACGCCAGGCCTCCCTGTCCATCACCAACTCCCGGAGTTTACCCAAACTCATGTCCATCAAGTCGGTGATGCCATCCAGCCATCTCATCCTCTGTCGTCCCCTTCTCCTCCTGCCCCTAATCCCTCCCAGCATCAGGGTCTTCTCCAATGAGTCAACTCATCACATGAGGTGGCCAAAGTATTGGAGTTTCAGCTTCAGCATCAGCTTCAGTTTCAGCTTCAGCAAAGCATTAGACTTTGTTAGGAATGTGTTTTCTGCACTGGCGTATCATTTGTACAATATTCTTAGGTAGAGTTTGTGTATACTCTTACACTGGAGGAAAAAGGAAGGCAGATGGGGATGGGGGTGGGGAGACATTCTGAAGAAGTAAAAACGACCCTCTGTGGGTTTCAGAAATGTCTGGGATACGATGCCTGAAGCTGAAACATCAGGTTGCATTTACTTTGGCTGTTCTTTAAACAACTATACGTTTCCTAAAAAACAAACAACAAACAGCAAAACCTCTTGTTACTTCTTTGTAAAGAAATCATGTAAGCGTGTGCCTATGAGATTCTGGGTCTTGATACTCTATATTTTACTTGCTTTGGTCTCCAGGGTTTAGAAAAACTGTATACTGATCTTGTGCTGTGTGTAAGGGCTTTCACTGTTGTTGCTGTTGTGGTGGTGGTGGTCCTGCCCCGAAGCCTGCAAGATCCTAGTTCCCCAGTCAGGGATTGAACCCTTGAAAAAGAAAAGGGCAGAGTCCTAACCACTGGTGACTTCCCTGCTGGCTCAGACAGTAAAGCGTCTGCCTACAATGCAGGAGACCTAGGTTCGATCCCTGGGTCGGGAAGATTCTCTGGAGAAGGAAACGGCAACCCACTCCAGTATTCTTGCCTGAAAAATCCAAAATCCCATGGATGGAGGAGCGTGGTAGGCTACAGTCCATGGGGTCGCAAAGAAGTTGGACATGACTGAGCAACTTCACTCACTCACTAACCACTGGAATTTCCCGTGTAAGGGTTTTCCATTTTGTTTTTTAAGTCTTTATTGAACTTGTTACAACATTGCTTCTGGTTTATGTTTTGGTTTTTCATCCTTGAAGCATGTGGAATCTTAGCTCCCTGACCAGGGATGGAACCTACCCCCCTTGCATTGGAAGGTGAAGTCTTAACCACTGGACCACCAGGGAAGTCCTTGTGTAAGAGTTTTTAGTGAGCAGGAGGGGGAAAAGTGCTTGATGAAATTTCAGTGTTGGGGGGAGGGGTGGGTGGAGGCACGCGCAGGGAGCTCTCTATTCCCTACCATAGTTCCTGCAGCTAAAGCAGTACCTGACCCTCAGTAGGTGCTCAGTAAATACTCAGAGAATGGATAGAATTGCTACTGTCTACTTCAGTGATAAATATCACACAAGGAGCACATTATTAACAGTACTAGCTCATCTACCAACACCAGAATGGTTAAGTGTGATTCTGATGTTAAACACAAAGAAATAGGATGAAGGAACTAGTCAATGGCGGTAACTGAATGTTAGGATTCAAAACAAGCCATGCCTGGGTGTTACCTGCCACCTGCCCGAACTGTTCTTCCCTAGTTATTCTTGGATCCAGATCTCTGGCTGCGTTTTTCAATGCTTTTGAAGACAAGGTAGGATATAACTATTAAGTGGATGGGTGGGTGGAGAGTGAGCTAAATGACAGATGGAAGATGAACAGTGAAATTGATGGGTGAATAGTTAACTGCCCACCAAGGCTCCTTCTCTGTCTGTACCTATAGTATCAGCCTGGCAATTTGAGTCTGGCAACACATCCTAACAAAATAGATTGGCCTCTAACTCTTCCCTGCCAGTTCTATGGCCCACCCGGGTTTGTAACCCCCCTGAAGTCTTGAAAGTGGAGTACACTTCACTACAGTTTTTGCCAGACCTCATTAATTCAGGAAGATGATACTCTAGCCAGTGGAAAGATACTGAGTGCATGCAAAAATTCCCTAATTGTGGGTTTCCTTTTGCTGTCTGCTCCCTTAATAAATTTGGAAAGTATTTTATGGAAATTATATTCTT